CAAGACCTGATGGGCTCGGGGTCAGAGCCCCGGCCCCTCCGTCGGAAAGGAGGTCAGGTCTGGGCACAGTGGCTGCACCCCTGCCGTGGAACCTCGAGCTCTCTGGGCCGCTTCTGCAGACCAGAGCTGCCTCCTCACTGGCTCACTGTGCGCATTGTGGAGGTTGGCCCCCAAGGGCTCTGCAGGGCACGAGGCAGAGCTGGGCCGGGGGCCGTGGCTCAGTGGCCACCCTGGGCTGGGCCCCACGACCCAGGACAGCCCAGGGAGGAAGAGCAGTGCTGGCCTCTCAGACTGACACGCTCGCCTTTACCCTCAGAGCTACCGGCCCAGCTTGTAAACTGAGGCCAGCGGGCGCTGGGCAGAGGCGGGACCCGGCCGTGGCCTGCTGATCCCAGACCCCAGGTCTCTCACCCGGCCACCCCCTCTGTCGGGACCCCGGAAGGGGCAACATTCAGCCCTGCCTCCTTTGTCCCCTTGGGACGCTGTCAGAGGGCTTTGAGACCCAAACCGACGTTTAAATCATATAAATATGCAAGGGCTGAATTCTCTCGTCTGGTTCCTCACAGATGCTTGGGGGGCGAAATTGAATCCCGCTGCGGCATGTTTGTTCTTGAAATAATGTGTGTGGGGTTGTTTGCCAGAATGAATTAGTCCTTGCCCTGATGCGGTGTCTGTGGTGATAGCCCGACCCCCATGGGGGCCTGCCCCCTCCCCGAGGAGACCAGCACAGAACGGGAAGCTGAGGACAGAGCAGGAGCCAGCCTGCCGCGCACACCCACCTCCCTTCCAGCGGCGTCCCCGTCGCTCTGCCACCTGCTGCATCAGCCCAGAAAAGGGTGTCGGGGACCTGGCCGTGAGCGCGGCTGGGGCTCTGGTTCACCTCTCCCCTCCCCGTCGCGGGTCTTGAGCCCGTAGCTTAACCTCTCTGAGCCCCAATGTCCTCCTCTGTACGTGGGGGAGAACTTCAGTGGACTGTACCAGGCGCGTGGCTAAGGCTCCACGAATGGGGCCCGGAAGCGTGTTGGGATCATGCGTTCTCAGGGCGGGTGGCATCACCCCCGTAGCTCACTACGGGGATGGAGGCCAGCACCGGGCTGGAGCTGGGAAGAGAAAGTAGCCAGATCACAGGAGGCTGCCCAGGAAAAGGACACCTCCACCTGGAAGCCCACCCCAACTGGCCCACCCTCCCAGCTGCCACCGCCCATATTTCCTGGGAGACATACAGGGCAAGAGGCTATGCCTCCCTCATCGCTGTACCGGGTGCCCACACAGGGTTTTGTGACTGAGTGAGCACTGAGCCCCGAGGCCAGGGACAGAGCCTGCAGTGTGGCTGGGGTGCTCGTGGCCCCAGGTTTCCTGTGTGTGTGGTTGGGAGCTGTCTCTTCGGCCACCACGGGTCCTCTGGCTATTATAGAGGCTGTTTAAAAATAACTGTGTCCTCCTGCCTGTCAGTCCCTGCCCGCCAGCTCCGCGTCTCCCACCCCTTCGCCCCTTTGCCCTCACTCATCTATACTTTTATTTCATTCTTGGCCTTGAGCTGAACCCTTATGAGGCTCCCAGGCCTGCCAGGAGTGGGTGGCCCCACCCACCCCACTTTGCTGATGCAATTTTGCCTCTGGTTAGGAGAGGGTCTCTGGCAGGTGCTAACTAGGCTCCAATACCCTTGACCCTGTTTCCACTGTGCAAAAGGTTGGACAGGAACTGTTTGCTAGAAATAGCTTATCTGAGTAGATGGATGTTGAACATCACCAGGGCCACCATGTACAGTTGCCCAGGTTGTGCACTGTAACAAGGGCTCTGGGTGAGCTGGGGCTGAGATCCAGCCATGTTCCCCTCCCCCAGCCAGGTAGCTGCCACAGCCCTTCCTAATGCACAGCCCTTCAGAGCCGGCCTCCCTGAAGCAGAAAGGTGGGTTTTCGTGGTGAGCATTGACCTCTCCCCAGCCCAAGTTCCTCGGTTCCCTGGCCTCCTCACCTCTCCCAGGCCTGAGTGGGTTCTGCCCTCAGGCTTGCAGAATGGCAGCCTTTATCGGGAGCCAGCCTTCCCTCTGGCAATGCATGATACCCAGAAGATGGAGTGGCTGCCGTGGGAAACACCAGCCACACTGTTATCTGGCAGGCTCGGCCCACCGGCCCTGGGGCTCCGATTAGGGAGCGTGGCTGTTTGCCTGTGGGTGCCCACGTGGGCAGGATGGGGAGGCACAGCACACTGGCTCGGCTCCTTCCCTCTATCACCACGAGGCCGGGGCCCTGAGACAGCCCAGGGCTGCCCCCACTCCTCCTCCACTCTCAGGGACCCCCGCACCAGCCCCCCACACACTGAATTCCCAGTTGCTCCTCCCATGGGAAGGTGGGCCACCAGCCTCAGGTGGAAGGTGTCATGTCCTGATGGGGGCTCCGTGCCCGACGAGGCCAGAATGGGCTCCTTCCACATGCTCTGGAGGCTGACAGGGAATGAGGTGGAAATGGAGGGGCTCCCGGTCACCTGCCCTGTCTCGTCTGTGGTCCCAGCAGGAGAAATGCAGTGCAGAGAGGCGTGCAACCCTCCTTGTTCAGAGGCCCAAGTGCGAGCCGAGCCCGGATTGCTCTGGGGTTTCTGGTTGCCCGCAGAGGGGCAGGCTGCAGCCTGAGGACACTGGACAGTTCCTCCTTGACCCCGCCCCCCCGCCATGGGCTGGGGAGTCAGGGCGGGAGGTGCCCAGGCTCAGTCCAGCATGAGCTCCCCACCAGCCTCGGATGGCTTGGCAGGTGGGTGGACAACAGATGAGTCCCAGCAAGCTGGCCTTTAGACAGCCCTCTCTTCCTCCCTCATGCACGCCCGTCCCCTGAGGGCCAGCGGGCGGGAACCAGAGACCCACGTACACCCAGGGGCCTGGGTTCAGACCCTGACATCCCGCTGCCAGCCACGTGGCCTCTTGAGGCCTCAGTGTCCTTGCCCGTACCGGGGGCGTAAAGAGAGGGCCCGCTCCATCAGACCGCTGGAGCAGGGGTGGGTGACTGTGCCGGGTCGCACTCCCATCCCTGAGGATGGGCCCTGCGGGGCCAGGGAGGGGGGGGGCCCAGGGGCCCTGGTTGGGCTGGCAAGGGACATGGCCCCTCATGAGCGAGCTGCAAAGGGACAGAGCCAGTCTTGACCTGGTCCCCTGCCATCTTATCTGCCCCTGGGAAGACAAGGACCCAGTTAGAACGTTTTAGCTGGGCCTCCTGGCGTATTTACACCTTATCTCTGCCATTAGGCCGGCAGTTATCTGATAATCGGGCCCATTAAGGCCACAGCCTGCCCGATCGGGGCTCCAGGAAGTGGGGCTGCCGCCACAGCGCTTGCTTGGGGACCAGGCCAGGCCACGTGAGGCCTCCGTGGGCCCAGGCAGCCCGGATGGCACCCAAGGTACAAGGTGGCCCAGCCTTCCTGGGCAGAGGGCGTAGGAGCAGGGAAGGGACCGCCCTCTGAGGGCGTGACCACCGCATGCCCTTGTCCCACGAGGCTCAGGCAGAGCAGGTGACATGCCCGGTGTGAATCTCCCAGGGTGTCCCCGACACACACAACCTTGGGGTCTTAACACATCAGAAATCTGTTTTCTCCACGTTGGAGCGCTGCGCCGCGCTCCCTCTGGAGGCTCTGGGGGGAGGGTCCTTGCTGTCTCCCCAGCTCCAGGGGCTACAGTGCGGCTTCCTCTTGACCCCATCACTCTGGTCTCTGCCTGTCTTCACGTGGCCGCCTTCTCTGTCTCTTCTGTGTGTCTTTTATAAGGACATCTGTCGTTGGATTTAGGGTCCTACCTTAAATCCAGGATGGTCTCCTCTCGGGCTTCTAACTTGATTACATCTGCAAAGACCCTTTTTCCAAATAAGTGCACATTCACAAGTTCTGGGTGGAGGTATCTTCCAGGCGCCATCATTCAGCCCACTGTAGAAGGTCCTGTGGACCGCGCAGTGAGGCTGGGCTGAACCCGGGAGCCTGAATGCAGACCCTGTCCGACCCCACGTCCCGCCCTGGGGAGAATGACATTCTCAGGGACTCAGAGCAGAGGCCCGTCCGTCTGTAGAAATGTGACCACATCCTGTGGTGGCCCTCCAACACGTGCCACGGGGGCCACCGCCTGGGCCATGGGAGCTGTCGGCGCCTGGAGAGTTTGCAGCCCCGCCCCCCACCATGGCACAGGTGGCCGCAGCCCCCGAGCGTCTTACACCCTGAGCTAGGAGAGGCCATGCAGAGAGGCAGGAAGACTCAGGGCCCAGACCTTTCCAGAAAGTGAGTGGCGGTCCTGGGAGGGTGGTTGGGGGCAGCAGCATTCTGGGGACAGTCCCTGTCCCTGCCGATCTGCAGGGAGTGAACGGAGCCAACATCAGGACCACCCAGGGGCAGATTCTGGCTTCGCCGAGGGCCATGGGGAGGTGCATGACTCTTTGACTTGGTTTCCCCTCTGAACTGTGCTAAGCGTGTTGGTGGATGAACGCGTTCAAGCCTCGTGCAGCGCCAGGAGGCAGGAAGTCTTAGAGATGGGGAAATCAGGGCCCAGCATTTCCACAGCCTCCGCCACAGGCTTGCTGTGTGGATGTGGGGGGCTCAGGCTGGTGGGGGGGGCTGGGAGGACTCTGTGCGGAGACCAGGAGGCAAGCCTCATCGACCTCCTCGCCCTCCACCGTGTGCCCCCCTAACGTAAGCTGCGGGGTTGACCCAACTCCATGTGTGCATCCTGGGCACGGGCAGGTGCTACAGGAGACACGTGTCCTCACAGAGCAGCCATGGTCCTACCGGCTCCAATCCAGCCACAGACACCCCCTCCCGTCTCTGCTGTCCCCCAGACAAGGGCTTGCTGCCGGGGCCGGTCCGGCTCCCAGAACCACACACTGGCCGCCGTCCCCATAACTCAGGCCCCCAGGGCACCCCCATCCCCACCGGGGATGGAGCTGCTGAGCTGGACTGTGCCAGGCAGGCGGCGGGGCTGGGTGGTCGCCGCCAAGGGGCATGCCTCACACCCCCGATGTTTCTCCCCACAGGCGAGCTGGAGCTGCTGCTGCAGGACGGGCAGAGGTGCGTGCGGGCTCGACGCAGCCTCACCGAGGGCCTGTCCTGGGGCCCATTCCGCGGGAACCTCCAGAGCAGAGCCTTGTCCCCTGGGCAAGTGGAACCGGTAAGGAGCCCCACCCCTGGCAACCCCCCCACCAGCCGCAGGGCCGCAGCCAGCGCACAGGCTGGCCCAGGGCACAGACCCCCTCCGCCCCTGGAGCCAAGCCAGGGTTATGCTCCAGCCTAGGAGCGCCTGCCCCTCCGCGTGCAGTGGGTCGGGAGAGGGGGGCCTGAGGTGTTGGGACCAGGACGGCAGGAAGGAGTTGACTGCCTGGAAGCACATGGAAGCCTTCCTGGAGGAGGTGACATGGGAAGGGCTTTTTGGAAGAGGCCCTTAATGGATGAGTAGAAGCTGGCAAGATAGAGAAAGAAATGGGTGTGTGAAGTGGGAGGCTGGACCTGGCCTTCGTGGACAGGGGCAAGCGAGGCAGTTTTCCGGGAGCTGGGGGCCCGCAGCAGCAGAGGCTAAGGTTCAGTTCGTCCGTGTGGGTCCTTCAGGTGCCACAGGGTCTTCACCTCCCCAGCACTTCTGGCCTGCCTGTGTCGGTAAGAAGCCCACCCGGGCAGCGCCCTCCACTAGTCGCCGCCGCCAGGGGGTCACTCGCTTCGGGGTTACTTGTGGACTGCCTTCTGTTTATGGCAAGTCAGTCTGCGTCCTCTCGCATGGGTACAAAGGCCCCTTTGAAAATACATTTTGGGGAAGAAAGGGCACTGATGTATGGGAAACCAGGCAGCTGAATGGGCAGCATGGGGTAGGACCGGAACCAGGAGGGACCTGACCGTGACGTGTATTCAAGAAGCCTCTCCCAGCCCTGCTGCCACTCGCTTGAAAGGCCAGGAGGCACCCGGAGTAGGTCCCCTCAAGCCCGGGCTCAGGCACCCCAGACGTGCAGGCACGGCCACGGCCTGGGCCCTTTTTGATTCCCGATGTTGCATTCAGGTGCAACTTGATCCGGGTGCCCCGCAGTGCTGGGCCTCCTGGTCCTCAGGCCCCAGGTGTGGGCCTCTGGTCAGCCTCCGTGTGGTCAGCAGGCAGTGTCAGGGCTGCAGGGAAGGGTCCGCCCACACCTAGAGGCCCCATGCTGCCCTGACAGCCCCATCCGGCTCCAGCCCGACAGAGCCCCCATTTCTCAGCCGCAGAAACCAGGGTGCAGGAACTCGGGCTGCACAGTGTCCACAGGGCTGGTGGGGAGCTGCAGGAGGAGTCCCCAGCTGCAGACCCTCAGACCGCCGTTCACAGTACCCACCGGAGTCAGAATCTCTGGGCTGGGGCCTGGGCCTGGGCCTCCAGAGATCTGGGCAGTCTCCCAGGGTCTAAACATGCAGCCCGGCTGAGGCCCCCTGGGCCATCCACACCACCCATCACAGCAGAGCGCCCAGGCTCAGGGGAGCACGTGCAGGCCTCAGCCACTCAGCGGGAGGCTGGCCCAGGACCGAGGGCTCCCAGCCCGTGACCAGGCCATCCCTGTGGCGCAGGGTCCCGATCCCGTGGCCTCCTCCCTCATGGCAGTTTTGCTCCCAGGCAGGTTCCTGAGCTCCTTGAGCTTCTGCTTCCTGAGCCTGTGGGGCCTCAGTGGGGACACAGGGAGGCCCTGAAGGGTCCCTGGGGCCTGAGCCTGCAGACCCTCCAGCATCCCTGCAGAGGAGAGGGTGGGCGGGCAGAGCTGTAGCCGGTCTGCGAAGTGGGGCAGCTGATGGCACACCCGCCTTCCAGGGCAGCTTACCACCACCCTGCAGGACGGCTGACCCTCTTGTCCCATGGCCCAAGCAGGGAGAAAACAGTGGCAACCACAAGGCAGACTTTGGCTCCACTGCGGGAATGGAGACCCTGGTGTTCAGGGCAGTCTCTTGAGGCAATGAGCTCCCCATCACTGGAGGCATGCAAGCAGCAGTTCTCTTTTCAAAGGGTGGGCTGTTGAGGGGCAGTTCATGGCTGGAAGGAGGAGTGTGTGGGCTGGGAGCTCCCTGGCTCCTAATTCTCATAAGCAGTGACAGGACAAAGGGGTGCAGCTGCGTGCGGCCTGCACCTCTCTCCTCTGCTCCCCCACTCTGGAGACAGTCCCTCCAGGACACACAGGTGTCGCTCACTGCACACACCGAGGTGTGCCCATCCTTACGCCCAGGCCCTGGTCTTCCCCGGCCGCACCATTGTGAGGCATACTCCCCATTTTACAGATGAGGAAACTGAGTCTCCAGCAGGTTAAGTGACTTGGTAAACTCACCAGGATCAAATAGCAGAGGGAGAATTGCAACCCACGTCTGCTCAAGCGGAGGCCCCTGCGGGCTCTGTAAGGATAGGGCTGAGCTGGCCCCAGAATCCTGGCCAGGTCCCCGCCCCGCCCTCCCCTCTGAGGGTTTTGTCCTCCTTGGGCCCGGGGCGCAGGTCAGCCTGGGGAGACTTGGCACGAGGTTGGAGACGCTCTCCAGGCGGAGAGATAATGTCCACGGGGAGCGAGGGACCAGCGCCAGGGAAGCCAGTGGCCTTTGAGGCTCTTGCCGAGGAGCTGAGGGAGGAAGGAGCCTCTCAGGCTCTTCCCTGCAGCTTTATCTCCTACAGAATTAAATCCTTGATTAACCCTTATCTCCCCAGCAGGCGCTATCTGCGCCTTGGCGCCGAGTGTCCAGACACACCGTACACGATGATTGATTTCTTAAAGATACGTGCGCCTTTCCGATACTTCATTTATTGTCTAAATATTTTTGCTAACATTTCAGCGAGCCCCTTATCGAGCTCAGCTGATGGGTCCCAGCTCTGTCCCCCATGCACCTCCTACCCCAGATCGTCCTATCAGCCGCCAGGCAGTTTGTCTTAGCTGTTTGGAGAGGAAGGAGAGAGAGGGGCTCTGATAGAGTGTGGCAACCCTTCCCTGCTGGTTTCCTTAGCCCCTGGGCTACTTGCAGATGGGAGGGGGAATGGAGGGCTCCTCTCACAGTCCACACACACACACACACACACACACACACGACTTTTGGGGGTGGGAGCCCCAGGAAATACACAGCAAGTGCACAGAGCCTGGCCAGGGTTGGGTCAAGAGTGGTTCCTGCACCAACATGCTGTGTGACCTTGGGCAGGTCCCTCCCTGATCCAGCTGTGGCTTCCCCTTCCCAGGATTTGGAAACCCAGCCAACTCTAAAATTTGTAGTCATATACCAAAAAAATGTTCAAAATGGTTGGGTGGATGGATGGATGGATGGACGGACGGACCGACCGACTGATGAACATAGTATAT